GGTTTCAAAAGCAAGTATATTGTTTCGAAGAGCATGGAAAGCTGGTTTCAACTCTTTCGTCTGCAGGTTTTGGACGAGAAGCTATAAATTCAGTAGCAGAAGCCGTGCAGTCGAACACAAATGCGATTGAAAGTGATCCTCCATTGTGCGCCCAGTTGTCTAGTGGTTATAGTGAGGTCTGAAGCAGAGGCTCTAAAGTTTGAGTTTTCTTTCGCGTTTTCCGTTATATTTACGAACCTGAGCTTCCTCTTATGCAAGCTTTCACTTCTGTCATAGCAATCCCACTCCTCAGAAAACAGATTTTTGATTATGTGGTTGTTACGGTTGAAGCTTTATATACGGGTTAAGATACACAAAGCGATAGCATCTTTTAGAATGATAGCACAAAATGAAGACACCTTTTTTCATAACAAGACACTTTTTCGACGAATGAGTTTGCAATGAAAAAGTGAACGGCGTAACGGCGTATAGACAAAGATTGTGTTCGTGCAAAGTTTTTGCAGAACTGCGGAACGGAAAAAGCAACAGCGAAGTCAAACTCGGAGGCATGCCTCCGAGGCTTTCACAATAAAACAACCACTATATTGCTGGGCACACCCTAAATAATCGATGTAATGAACACTATCGTTGTATAATAGCCGTTCCATAATTCAATATCGACAAAGTTCGCAAAAGCACTGCTGTTCGTTACGAAAGATTTCAAGAAGATTGTACTGACATTGAAACGTCCCTTCCCACAAACTCAAAACTGGTGGTTTTACCTACGTTAGTTCTTTGCTAACATACACCTATTTACTTTCAAGCTCATTTTCATATTAGATTGCCTGAAAAATTGCACCATTTTCTTGCTTGGCATTAATATTGCTAAAAATGGTAGATCAATTACTTTTTGACAACCCTTGCTCACTCTCCACTAAGCTCTGATTGCAGAAAAATGGAAAAAAGAGACTTTTTGAGGTTTAGCGATTTGAGGCAAGCCCGTAAAAGATTCATTTTACTGAATAGAATCTAAAACAGGCAGTGTCGTGAGCTTGCTTTCCAGTCTCCTTTTTCAAACTGGGCAAAAGTGCTGATCCAGCTAACCTTCAAAAAGCATAATGGAATTAGCAGACAGAAAAGTAGATTTCTTGGCACTTTCTTGAATATAGCTTTTAAAAGAAAATTCTGATTAGCACGAACTTTGCTCAGTTAGAAAGAAGAGATCAGGAAACTTATGACATTGTCTATTTTAATTTTTATTGCAGATTCTTTAGTCTTCAACGTTCTTATTTCGAGTCATGGTCTCAGAATATTCGCTTTTTCCTTTTTATTTCTATAAACAGAGCTTAATAGAGAGTAAGCAAAGTGCCGTTCAAAAGTGCATGCAAGTTTTCTAGCAATCTCAGCGAAGTAAGAACTTTGCGACTGGGCTGGAAGTTAAGTTTTTTCAAAAAAAGGAACTACGAAACATTAATTCAATATTTTTACTACTGCCGTGCCACTGAAAAAGCGCTACTTACCATCGTAAATCATTCCTAGAAAGAAGAGAGGGTTTTTTTTTGAACGTGATGTTTCACAGAAAAGTTTTGGTAGGCAGAAAATCGTACCTTAATTTCCTTCTTGCTTGTCATATTAATCATAGAGATCGTAGAAATGATACACACTGAGCAACAAGAAATCTATGCTCTAAAAAAAGCAGTTTCGCGAAACGAAGTCAAAGTGAGAATTCGCAAAACCATCAGTTTAGCATCGAATTACAAGGGAAGCTTATTTAGTCGAAGTAGCCCTTTTTAGAAGGGCATAAAAAGCTAATTCCAGACCTGCCTTTTTTATCTGCAGAACATTTATGGGCGAGAGTTATGGACGTTTTTGGAGCCAAAAATATGCATTTGGATAAAATATGTTGCTAGAATCTGACTAGCTCTCAAATATGATGATTATCATTGCTCCGTTGAAAAGCTATGTAGAGAAAGTATTACGGCTACTTTTGTCCCACTTACACATTTAATTTTCTGCTTCAATAAGTGCTCATCACTCCTCATCCATGGACGTTCTGCATATAATGAAAGCAGATTTGGAATCAGCATTTTATGCCCTACCAGCTGGTATACATTCCTTCAAAATGCTACTTCGACCAAACATGCTTTCCTTGTATCTTTTGACCAAGCACAATCAGCACGATAGTGAGCATCATTGTTTTTAATAATGAAATCAAATCTGAAGAAATCCGATTTCTGTACCATTTCGGTCACCCAAATTGCTCGCACCGTTTACATCGATGTTTAGTACAGCTCGTTATTCTAAGAAAGTTATTCGCGCTTCCTGTATTTATGCATGTTTCATTTCTTTTGCAGATATGGCCACCAGTTTTAATACTTATCGTCATTTCTGAATTTTGTAACGTTTCAAAACTTGATCAATAAAAAGCAAGTTTTTTTGGTGCACAACGCCACAAACATCAAAATTGTAGATCAGCTATTTCCTTGCCTGTCTCCTATTGTAATGGAAAAAGTAAAGTGATTCAGACTCCATAGAAATATTGTGCATGCTCATAAATCTGCAGTTTGATGTTGATTGAACTCTAATGTCCCCAGCAGTAAAGAAAAACGACATTAACTATACATTTAATAACAATCAGATGCAAAACTACAAACTGCACCCACAATGTCGGCATAATTGAAAGGTCCCCTATACGATTTAAAACTGTTCGAAATTATCTATGACAAAAACTCAATTAAAGCACTGTCGAATGCTGCCTCAAGTAGGCTTCTGTTTTGCTTTGTGCACCTATGGACAACAAAATATTAGGTCGTTTCACAAGTTCGTAAAGTTTTCATTCTTGTTCTCATCTTTTTGAGGAGCGGTTGATTTGCGCCATGGTGCGTACATCATTGAAAAGAGCTAATCACACCCTTCAAAGTCAACTAATTATTTCTGATAAAACGCTGATTTGCTTTGATTTCTTAGCTTTCAAAGAAGGGTTTCTCAAATTATGGAAAACGGTGTCTTCTCGTCATTATGATGCAAAAAGTAGTGGATTGCCAAGAAGGTATTGAGAGTTTGAAAGATGACTCCTGAACAAGACTTTTGGCATGATGAGCAGGACGTTCTGCACTAAAAATTGCTAAGCAAAAACAAGACGTTCGCCCTTACCGTGCGCAACCTGGCTGCACCCTCTGAACGAATCCCTACTGCAGAAAAGGCCTAATAAACAGGAAAGCGAGCTTTTCTGCGCGGCAAAACCTAGTCCCCTACGGCAACCGTCATCATAGTTGTCCTGCAAGTCTTGGTCGGGAGGTACATTAGTATCCAGTGTACTCCTGAGATCTCGCTCTAGCATATTGTGGTCTGTTCCAGTCTGTCACAAATCATATTAACGGCATCTGATTTGATTTTGTAGACGATTCCAGGCGCTGGTTAGACGACTTTTTTGGGACCAGACCAGCTGAGTTCTAAAAAAAAGGAACCGAAAAACTGACCATAATGGCAGAAGTTTGTGCGCAACAGCGGAATATGCATTGTGGACTGAATTTTGCTAAAATTTTGTCATTTTGTTGGTCTATAAAAACTCTTCGAACTCATGGAACGACCTAATACAATGTTCTCTTCTTCTCGAATGTGGGACGTAAGGAGCTTGATGTTTACCTTTTCTTGCTTTGTACAAATTTCTCAAACAGTAGGTTTCCAACACCAAAAGCTTAACCATCTGAAACAAAAGCGTTAAAGGACTTTATGGCAACAGTTAAAAACATATAGTCACTTCTTCAGCTCTTGATACGCGTTTGGTGGGCAACTGTCTTGCAAATATTTTACTGCTTGTTTTGGTCCTGTCGGTGGTTACCAGTCCAAAGTGTATCTCTGATAGTGCAGCCAGGTAAGGCAAGCTGAGGCAAGTTTAACTCGCGGAAACGCAAAAGGACTCAAGACTCATGGTCCAGCTTTGCTCCTGACAGTTTTCTGTTTTCGTGCTCAGTACTATCACATAGGATATGCTCGACCTTTATTGCTGGTGTAGTTGTCTACCTTAATACCGAAATATTCTTTCTCACAAACGCATTGATGGTTTACTGCGGAGACATATCTTATGTTTTATATTTGGTCCATTGGCCAGTTATGGTGGCAGCTCGATATTCAGTTGATTCTCAGATGCTTTCTTGGAAAGGTATCACCTTCAAGATGTACCAAGTTGGGCCAATCTGGTTCCAGCAGTAACGAGTTAGAATAGAATATATTTTTGTAAATTATTCAGTAACAGCTCTTATCACACTGACATTGTTAGTGAAAGCATTATAGTCTTTTTTCGAAAAAGTGTCATGAGCTATAGAGTCACCACGGCAATGCTCACCAAGCTGTTTTTGAATCTTGAAATTATAGTAATTGCGCTGTTACATACCTTTATTATCAGCGAAATTCTGGTTGAAATAATGCACAAAATATCATTTGCTTCATTTACATGATGTAAATGGTTCGAATGAATAGTGACAGTTAAAAAAACGTTCGAAAAACTAAAGACTTTTGTTCAACTAGAATTTAGAAAAAATTGTTGAATTTGCGCGCGAAACACATTAAGTTATTTTTGACAGAGATGACACCTTAATTTGAATAATTGAAAAGGCAAACTTCCTGGATGGTCTAGATGGTCTTAATCTGGACCTTTAATCATCACAAAATTTGCTTTGTGCTACATAATTTTAAGATAAAAGGTCTTTCAGGCATGATTGCTGTACTTACCGTTAGCTTCACACTGTCGATAGCAATCCATCATACTTTAGAGGTTAGAGTTTTATAGTTTATAAACTTGAAACACTGATGACGTGTAATAAATAAATTTGCAGAAGTTTTTCATAAATAAGAAGGCTATGACGAGTTTTCTTTGCGTGGTTGCCTGTTATGCTTGGATTGTCAGCACTGAATCGTTGTATCTTTATATTCCTTCACTAGAAAACATCAATCCAAACACTTCGAGTATTTCCAAGCACTTTCGATATTTCCGGGAGTTTTATTCATTGAAGCAATTACAGAAATTGATTACGCTATCGAGTGGAATATGAGAGAATCTCACAAACTATATTTTACACTGCCGTGCAGTGCAGATCGTAGCACTCATCGCTATACAAAGTACAAAAAAGAAATACAGTTACGATGCGTTGCGGTAAGTAGTCAATGCAATGCTTAGAAGTCCAAGTGCTCTAGTGTAAAAGAAAATTTTTAAAAGTAGTTTTCCTTCCTATTTGTAAGTTTACCGTTTTTCGAAACGATAGTAAAAGCTCTTAACGCAAGCACGACTGCATAAACGGGCAATAAATGCCCTAAAAGTCGGAAAACTAGTTAAACATCTCTCTTGACGCATCAAAATTTCACCATTTTCTTTCACCGGAACACACACTATGAAACTCATCAATTTGCTTCTTCATATACGACATTGCTTTGTTTATGTCTATGCCCCACCTTTGTCAGTTTCCTGCATCTCTTTAGTTTTTCGGATTCTCCGTGCCAATCCCCTACTAAATCTCAGCTCGTAGTTTGGATATGCGCTTAAAAAGTTATAGATTCTGTTGATTTACTAGTTTTTGTTTAGAGTTAGCACACTCTTTTCTCCGCTGCCTCCTTCCGTGCATTAGTACACCAGCGCCCCAGCTCAAAGTTTGCAAAAAAAAACAATAGGACCGATAAAAGATGTGCTTTTTACAGACGTTATTATGTTCATAACGCACGCTCATCTGTTGCCGTACTCGTACATTCTGTGGGTTCCAGTGGGTAGGCATTATTCCCACGAAATCGGTGTTTATGAAGCTATTACCCACTGGATAGCAGCGGAACCCACTGGGTTCATTGATAATTTGGTCACTGAACTCTTGCATCAACATTAGCCTCGTTGCTCAAATTTGCAAAAATTTCAATTGGTTTGAAAAGGCACCCGTCTTGCCTTGCGTATTGTTCAAAATTTGACCCGGACTGAGCTATGAAACTTCTATGAGGCATACGTTCAAACAGGCAGACATACATACAGAGGACACACACATACAAACGAGCACTTAGCTGTATAAAATAATAGAATATTATGTAAAACAAATTATATAGAGCTTATGGGGAAGTTTGTAAAATGGGTGCAAATGTAAGTCAAAATTGTTACTACCAAGGAGGCATCGAAGTTTCCAAATCAAGGTGGTAAACTTGCCAGTTGATTTAGAAACAAAACTTTGTATTTAATTCAGAAACTTATAATTTTCATTGACAAGTCTTTTAAAAAACTTCATATTTTGTTCTTCTGCGTCTTACCCGAGCATACACTAAATTTGGTGCCAATCCATCGCAAGCGTCAAGAAACGATTCGCTTGTAAGTTGTTGGCGATGTACCATTTATTGTATGTACTCGCAATAACAAGAACAAAATGCAAAGTTCCTAAAAACTCGTGAATGAAGAGCGCGAGAATATTCTTTGCAAAGCCAAAAGCCGTTTTGATGTTATTTTATTTGCAGAAAATTTTGCAACTTATTTCTTAAATTCGCACCTTGTTTTTTGTTTTTAACTACGCGAACTTTTCAAAAACTCGCCACAACCCTAAATCATATCATTGGGCTTGGCGGCACAAGGGGAAGCCGACTATCGTTTCAATTCCAAAGATCAGAAGGATGTCATTTTTTGAGGTTTAGAGAACTTTAGAAAAAGAATTTGTTTGCTGTTTGCTCTCGACAAAACTTTACCATGCCGTTCCCACATTGGCCATACATACTGAGTCTCAAAAAAACCATGTACACTGTTTGCTCAATATCTCTCTTACCATAAAGCCTTTTGTCGACCTGAAGCACCATTCTGTAGAGCTGACTTCATCATAGATTTACAGCATATAGCGAACTACATACCAATCTATTTATTGCTGTTGGGTGTAATCTCAAATCTATAGAAGGTTAGCTGCCCTCAATGACACCGCTTCGCCAGATCTATTACCAAGTAGAAATTTGCTAAGTACAGATCAGGCCAGCGTTCCGGCAAAATGATGGAAACCGAGATTTTACAGTGTGGCTATGGTAGACCTCCAGCTAATCTATCAGTAAAGTCTGGGACCAGAAGTGTTTCTAAAAAGCCCAAAATCCGCACCGGAAGTCTCCAGACCCCGCCCACTTCCGAATTCCGACCACTTCTTATATGTAGCGACTGCGGACACGGAAAGCTTCGAAAAAAGCTCATTTTTACTATTTTCAAGCGCTGAAAAGCTCAGGTATGGCTTCAGCATGGCGAGAAGGCCCCGAAGAGGTAAAAAACTGTAAAGTGAAGTTTTGCCAGGACATTGCATTTTGTTGCAGTGGCTCGGCAGAATGGCAACATTGGGATGTTCATCGTTCTCGACTCCCTTGGTAAGTTAAGTCTGAAACTGGCTTTGCAGCGTTTTGAATTATCAATAACTTGCTTTCCCGGACGTGAAAAGTGTTGTTTGGGCGGATTGCGAAAATGGCTGCTGGAGCCAATAATCCAATTGCCGCCAAGATGGGGGTGCCTCCGCTCACGAGCCAATCGCGCTCTAGAGGGCAGGCTTACGCCGCCTACCCAAATAGCACTTTTCGTCTAAAAAAGCGGATTATTGATATATTCTGAAGTGGCAGAGCACAGGATTGGACCTACTTACAGAACCGAGTCAATGAATAACCCAGACTGTCATTCTGCCGAGCCGCTGCCGTTAAAGGCAGCATATAGGCAGATCTGGACCTATGGGGATTTTGCGTGGAAAGTACTTTTGGGGCCCTAACTAAGGCACTGCCAAAGCGGCAGCAAGGTAGTGCTCTAATGGCTGAGATATTCCCCTCAAAACTGGACCCCGCGATCGTATTCGCAGGGATTCATGGCAGTTTCCCGCCAGGACCCACTCTTTGCGCCATAAACCCATGCGAAATACGATCGCGGGGTCCAGTTTCGAGAGGAATATCTCAGCCGGTAGAGCACTACCTGAGCTGTCGCTTGAGCAGTGGCTTAGTTAGGGCCCAAATTTACTAACTATGTGAGATCCTCATGTGTCCAGACTTGCCTGGACGCTGCCTTTAATTTGAACATATCCGCGATTGAAGGACCGTGCTGCTACTTGTCCAAAAGATTTACTTAGGAAAGCGACCAATTGTGAGGCATAGTGATGCGGCCAGCTGCTTGCTTGAAAAAAAAGAAGAAAAGGTGCGGTCTGCACTTGCGAAATCAGGGTTCCATTTGCGAATTTCAGCATGATGCAATGCATTCGCATACGCTTCTCATCTTCCATCTCTCCTTCTTCTTTAATGTGCAGTGTGTCTCTTATACCTCCGACATTTGTGTTCATTGTTCATTATATGGTTGGAAGCTTGAATATGTTACCACTAAATTTTTCTATATTTGTTTAAAAGGGCTTCAGGTAAATTATACGCTCTTTTGAATTTTAATGCGGTTGAGGAGTAGAGGACTAGGCTGCCAATCCTCCATCGCGCGGACTGCCAACACGAGCTGCTATGCCATGAGGAGAAGTTCGCATTCGTTGCAGATTCAGCACAACATTTCCCCCTCGACAACCTACTGTTTCTCTATTCGCTTATTAAAATCCTTTTGATTGCTTTTCTTCCTTCATCTTTGACATATGTTTTTGCACCTTCGGATACATTTTATCCAAACCATATCTTTTCACCTTCAACGCATTAGCAAATCTCTCATTTGTTCACAACAAGGTGTTCTTTATCTCGCTATCGGATGTTCTCTTAGTAATTTCGTTTCCGGATTCGACTCTGCTTTCTTCGGCGATCATGATAGAATCAAGCCCTTCACTATCCACTCTGAGTCATATTTGTGCATATTATCCACCTCGCTCAAAATCGAATGAGGAAAGAAAATTGCAGAGAAAATTGCAACGCGGTTAGAATCCAAGTAATTTGACTGGAAGGATGGTTGGACTTGCAGAATGGTCTAAACAAGACGTATTAGTGAAATTGATCACCGAAGCAAGTTCAAGCGTTCACGGCAATTAGGTAATGACGGCAATAACTTCAAATGCGATGCACGAGAGTTAAGCTGCACATTAGGGTGGGTTCATAGGTACTGCAAGCCCCGGAACAGTTCCAGCACAGCGCACAATTCGACAACTGTGTCGGGACTGTTCCGAAACTGCGATTCAGTATGAACCTATGAACCTTTAGCGAGAATCAAGAAAGCTTAGAAAATGAAGCGCGGGCAGTACATTGGAGCGCAATAAAGCCTGATGATTTCGCGCTTATGATAAGAAAGCAGAGCGGCTGTTGATAGCAGCTGGCTACTGGCAGAGGCTTCAAGTGGCTAATGATGCTGCTGGCGCAGTATGAAGTCACCAGTAAGGCCCCAGGATTTCCGTTTGGGGAGGGAGAGGGGAAAACGAACATTCCTCCCTTCCCCCCCCCCCCCCCACCCCCGCACCTTTCTCGGTTCGCCACTCAAAGGCGCATAAACAAATAAATTTATTATGTCTAATGTTTTCGAGACATTGCTCGGCACTCCCTGTTTCAGAGAGGAAATGGCAGTGCAAATATCTTACTGATTGGGAACTCGATTGCATACAGAGCATATCCCCTGATTTATGATGTCTTGAAAGGACGGTACAGCATCTTCAGACTTTATTCAAGAGGCTGTTTGTCACTGAAGATGTTTGAAGTCACCGTTACTCTCTGATTTCTAATCTAGCATGTCCTCCTCTGTCAAACTGGTGTCCGCTTTTCACCGAAGCGATGAAGAAAGTAGTGGAACACGAAAAGCCAGACATTGTTTGGTACATGCATCATTGCTTGTGAGTTTCATTTAGAATCTTAGCTTTGGGGTGTACAAGTACTTTAGATACGCTCCTTTTGTTGATCCCGTATTGGATCTCAGTCAAGATAGAATCTATCAAGAGTTTCAAGAAAACATTGATCATATCAGGTACATTGACGATACGGAGACCACATTGCAGAGTAGATTTTTAGGCAATGATAGTAGATTAAACCATTTACAAATTAAAATCACCTCATTTCGTTTTTTTTGAATTCGTGAATTTTTTTAGGTTGAAGAAAAAGGATACCGCTTTTTTTCAAATTTCCACAACTAAACACTTGTCACTTGAAATCAAGGGCATACTCGGGGCCACATAATTACCATTTGATTCAACTGGCTTGGCATCCGCAAAGGCGGGGCTTCGTGACCTAATTGCTAGGTAATGATCAGAGAGCACTCGCGCGAGAGAGACGTAGATGCGTCGCGGGCGCGTGCGGCCTCAATTAGATCACAAAACCCCGCCCTAATAGTGCCAAGCCAGTTGAATCAAAGGTTACTAAAGTTTTGAAGGTTTGTCGTATACAACGCATACATAGGAGCCCAAGACTGCTGGAAGCGGGGGTTTCGTTTTCCGTTTTTCATTTAATTTATTTCTAAGCATAAACGAAAATAGCATTAGCAAGTGTATTGTGTATGTGAGTTACATGCAAAATCAAAATCGTGGACTTTTTTGCGACAAGAATTTTTTTTCTTGCATTACAATTTGCTCTTACGTTTTGATTCTAAACTTTGCGTAAATTACGACTTGTGCCAAAAATCAAAGGTAAACCTGTAAAGCTTTCTTTGCTCTACCGATTATTTTCCCCCTCACATAACTTTTTTCAAATTCTTCCCGTTAGCTATAGAAAGCCACAACCATTTTCTTCCTTTCCTAACAATTATTTCCAACCTAATATAGAAATTTATTGTGGCAAATCGTACAAAACATATGCTAATGTTGAAGGGAAGTTTTCTCATAAGATTGCATAAATCTGGTTTAAGCAACTACACGAAACATATAGTCATCGATATGCCCTACTATAAATCCCCATTCAATACTGGTGCTATGCTTGCCAGAAGACTGCACTTCAATCTTTCTCTTGGAGATGAATTCGTAGTTACTTGGCAGGTGTGTGAAGTTCTTTACTAACAAATCATTATTTTCTTAGATTTTCAGCAGCACATCAACCAGACACAATATCACCAACTGAGGTTAAGCTCGCTCAAGTGCAGCAAGTGCATCATGAACGAAATAAACAAGGTAGGCTTAGTAGATTGGAGAAAAACAAGCACTTAGCACAATTTGACTTCCATTCTATTGTTAGGCTGGAATTAGCAATGGAAATTAAAAAAAATCAAGTGCTCTGTATATGGAAAACGAGCTAGAGCGACTGTTTGTTGTCTTCGCTAAGCTTAAGAAATGCGAGGTATGACGAATATCAGAGTTCTTATAGTTGTCAAGAATTGAGCACCTCAACGTTTTAAGCTGTAGGGGACGCTAGTTTACGTGAAGGAATTGATTACTATCATGTCGCAAATATATACAAATCATAATAGAGTATTAGGTTGTCCGGAAAATAATGTCGCATGGCATCCTACCGCCACAAAAACAGCGAATGGGGTACCAATTGATAGAGCAAAGCAAGCTCTACAAAATAGCTTACAAACTTCCGCGGAAGTCGCGCTCCATCTAAAGTTCGAATTCAAAATATAAACTACATATAAATAAATATAAACTACACATTCACAAGTATAGTTTGTGGTATTTTTCCATGCCAAAATTCCAAAACCGACCTCTATTTTTTCTCCATGTGACTTTGATTAATTTTCAAAGTCTATGAACTTGGGAGTAAGCTGATCTCCAAACATGTCGCTTTGGTGTTTAGTTGGTTTTTGACGACGGTTTGGTTAGAACGCGTTAATGTTTATTTAAGATGTTGTATAATTTTACTCTCCCCACAATGTTTACAACCTAAAGGGTTGGGGACTTTGTATGTAAGCATGTTTAAGCAGTTTTTCTATGCTTTCCTATGCCAGTCTTGGCCCTCCGCCTTCATGCAATTCTTTGACGATTTCAGTGCAACTCCTTCAACGATTAAGAGACGGTTATGCTCCAACACGGCTAAAATTCTAAAAGCTTAATCATGAACCTTTGAAGCTGTCTTTTTATGCATGGATGTAGAGAACAGGGAAGGGCACAAGCGGCTTACAAGGCAAGACGGATACCCCTTTAAAGTAGAAAACAAAGGAGATATTTATTTACACTATTTGAGTGGACGGAAAAAACTGTTGTGTTGTTAATCATGGAGCGGAAACGGGGAATGATAATATTTCAAAAAATCTTGAGGAGGAGTTGTTGAACTTTACGTACATTGACCAAATTTTTGCAGCCCTCTTTCTGACAAACAAAACTTATCCAATTTCTATCGTTAGTCATACATATACATACTACAATGTCCCTCAAAATACCTCCTCCCCCCTAACAATCAATCCACCTCCTTTTTATCCCAACTACTCTTCTTGCTAGTGCTCATCACCGCTTCACCGATCCCATTCTCTGCAAATCCAACAATTATGCGCTCTCCGTGCAAACGAGGGAATTCAAGATGTGAACCGAGATAAACAAAAGGCTTGTTCACAGCAAAGAGGAAATGATATGACACCAAAATTGGTGTTCAGATGCGCAGTAGAGAGCGGACTATGTATGAAAAATTGTGTAAAAAATTATGCGAAGTATCAGGGGGAGACTAAGTTTTGCAACTGCTTTCATAACTTTACTCTCATTGACCATGGCGCGCTCAAATTTTGGCTATATGTACTATTGGACGTGTGCTACAAAAGCTCACAAGAAGCTTGATTTTTGAGGAAGAAATAAAAAAACTGCAAGCATTGTTTGAAAACCAGTGAATTTCGAGGATTTATGAGGTTATAAGCAAAAATGAAGCCGCTCGCAAACATATTAGGTTGTCCCGAAAGTTTTGTCCGTTTTTTCAACCTATTATAAAAACACGTGGAACGAAGATAGGGAAACGCTCTAAGCACTATCCGACGCAGCTTTTTTCCCTCTTTCCAACTGTCATAATCCCATGCCGATTACTCTTTTGCTCACTGAGTTAAACGCCGAAATTTCGAACCCGTGGTTTTTACTATGTCCAAGTTTGGCAATTTTTGACACACTTCATTTTCGACTTTTGGAAGACCTTTGATAGCGCTCAGATAGAGTAAACAAGGGGCAATGCAATGCAATTTTTTTGGCTTATCCAGCTGGCTTTTCAGTATTTTTTGAGATGTTTTTTCAAAAGTCTTTACTTTTGCGAAGTCCTAAAATACAGAAACGCCTCGAACACTAACAAATCATCCGATTTTGAATCTTTCAAAAATCGATTCCGATTATTCACTATTTTTACAAAGCAACTGAGCATTTACCGCTTCGAAATATAAGATTTCGCATTTTACGGTATACGCTGGGGCGGGGTCAAATTCAAAAATTTTATCGCTAAGGACCCCACAAATGGGAGGGAAAATACACTCACTGGAAAGAGGAGGAAAAGCTGCATCGAATAACACCTTAGTTGTGAGCCGTTTCATGATGTCTGGCTTTTGGCATCACCAAAAGTGGAATTTGATATCATCAGAAGAATAATTCTAAAAAATTTTCAAGGCTAGCTATAGATGCCGCAAAATTGCATCATATTGCCAATTGTTTGCTCTATCTAACTGCTACCAGTGCTTTTTCGAAAGTCAAAACTGAAGATTTTGAAAAATTGCCAAACTTGGACATGGTAAAAACCATGTATTCGAAACTTCGGCGTTTATCTCAGTGAACAAAAGAGTAATCGGCATGGGATCATGACAGTTGGAAAGAGGGGAAAAGCTGCGTCGGATAGTGCTTAGAGCGTTTCCGTGTCTTCGTTCCACGTGTTTTTATGATAGGTTGAAAAAACGGACAAAACTTTCGGGACAACCTAATATCATGCACAGTAGTCCGAAATTGCATGTGAATTATTGCTTAAGATTAACTCATTTGCCTCAGTAGAAAAGGAATAGAATTGAAAAACAAGTCGAAATCTGGCGCCCTCACGTTGAAGTACGCAAGGCTGATGGGAACAACCATTAACGACTTAGGAGTCGAAACGTCAAATCCGCGGAGACATCACATAGTGGGGTTATTCGACCTGCTAAATACGAATATCATATTCATCTCTTGAATTAACGTCTTTTTTATCGTTTAGGGTAGGATCCCTTACCGTAAAGCTACAGTACTCTTGCAAAAAAGCCCTTACCATGCAAATTCATGTTACTCGTGATCGGCATTTCGGATAACCCCCCTCCCCCTATACCAACTTTCAGCCAAAACCGTAATGATTTATAACTTTCCCCTTCATAACATATACCTACCGTAATTCTTACTGCGACGTCAGAACTTGGCGGAACAGCAGCTGTTCTTATAGCTTTTGTCATAATTTATATATTGGCAAAATCTGAGTGCGCCACGTTGACAGAAAGTAAAGTTATTGAATGAGTTGCAAAACTTAGTTTCCAACCTATAAAAAAGCGTGGGGAACTTTATTCGGAGTTAGGTGACTTTTACAGCCACCTGAGTTGGCTATGAAAATAAAAGTCATACTCTTTGCTTTTTAAAAAAAATTAGCATGCTTTGCACAGTTTTGATATGCATCCGAAACACTGCAAATGAGTTTTTGAACCTCTTCAAACCCGCTTTTCCGCCTAATCATAGCCCGTAATACTACAGTAATAAGAGCGATAGATGATTTGCTCCATACTGTAAATCCAAGTTTAACCTCGCTCTACAAAATTGTACCAGAAACTTCTCGAAACACTTCACTACAAGAGAGTTAGATACAATCAAACAGTATGTGGTTTTTTTGGGGACACTCTGACTGTGCGTACCAGCGGCGGTAGTAGGATTTCCGTTCGGGGAGGAAGGATTCATTTCCAAATTCAGAAATTATTTTAATTATTTGCAAGTGTA